CCCCCCCCCCCCCCCCCCACCAACCCGGGCCTGAGCTTCCCCAGGGGTGGCAGCAACACCGAGGCGAGCTGTGATTTTAGCCACTCGTTCACACACACGACGACATCAATAACTCCTCAGACCAAGCACGAGGTGGCCGGACTTCGTCTCAGTGTGTGTAGGAAGTCTCTGCTCTGGGGTTGCCCCTTCCGCTCTCCTGAACCCCCAGCTCCGACTCTCCTCTGCTCCACGGGACACCACGCGTAGGGTGACAGTCGTCACCGTGACAAACACGAAGAGGAAGGCTGACCCCTGCTCGGTGGCGGTGAACAGGGAATGGAGGAGCCGGCGTTCTGCAAGGGGATGTAGCCCTCCCATGATCGTCTCCCCCACCCCCGATGCTGGAAGCTTTGGGTGGAGGCAGTTGAGGCAGACACCCACGTCATCTCAGCAGATACAGACCATCATGCCTGGATGAGTCCCCTCCCGGGGACCGAGGGGGCCCCACACTGAGCCTAACCCCGTGCCATCGATCTGTACGGCATTTGGCCCTTTCTTTTTCTTCTGAACAGAAAGCCCCGTGAGAAAGAGACCATGCCGGCTGCTAGCTCCCTCGGACCCCGAGCACTCTGGCTCCGGCCCCTGGCACCGAGGTAATGAGCAGTGATCCACATATTATACGGAAGAGCCAACGCACAAACACAAAGAAACAAAGGTAGTAGGTTACAGTTAACACGGGCTTTGCCACCAGGCAGGTGTGGGTTTCACTCATGCTCTACCTGCTGCATGATGTGTTTTTACTGACAATATAATCTAAATGCATAAAATTATTTGTGTCACAGGGGTACCTGGGTGGCCTGGTCAGTTAAGGGTCTGACTCATGGTTCTAGCTCAGATCATGATCTCACAGTTCGTGGGTTCAAGCCCTGCATGGGATTCTCTCTCTTTCTCTGTCCCTCCCTGCTTCTCTCTAAAATAAATAAAAAAATTTTTAACATTTATTTATTTTTGAGAGTCAGAGAGCCAGAGCATGAGCAGGGGAGCGGCAGAGAGAGAGAGAGAGAGAGAGAGACAGAATCGGAAGCAGGCTCCAGGCTCTGAGCTGTCAGCAGAGCCCCACACAGGGCTCGAACACACAAACCGTGAGATCATGACCTGAGCCGAAGCCGGACGCTCAACCGACTGAGCCACCCAGGCGCCCCTCTCTCATATAAATAAAAACATTAAGGAAAAAAACTGTTAATGATCTGTGCCACAGGTGTGTCATCCAAAGACTCTCTACGCCTGTGTCACCAGCGCCCAGCTCGGGGAACAGAACATCCGCAGAACCTCCGTAGCGGCCTCAAGCTCCCTTCCCGTCGCTACCCTGACCACCCAAGGGTGAGCCACTACCCCGCCAGCTGCAGGACACCTCCCGAGTTACCCGTCCTTGCCGACTCTTCACCTCAAGGTGGGAAAATGATCCCACGCAGTGTCTAGACTGCATGTGCAGTGTCTGGCCAACACAGCGGCACCCTGCTCACAGTAGGAGTCACGGAAGTAGCAGCGGCCACGGTCCTGGCAGCAGCCACAGCAGCGGAAGGAACGGGAAAGGGGGTGGTAACAGGAAGCAGTAGGATCAGTAGCTGTAAAAGCAGTGGTCCCAGCAGAGGAGGAAGGGTGGCGACAGAATCCGTGTTCTCAGCAGCAGCGACAGGACCAGGGGCGGCTAACACTTAGACGGTGCTCATCATGTTCCAGGCTCTGGTCCCTACCTTTACGCACCTAATGCTCGGAGCCACCCTTATAAAGATGCACAAAATATGATTTCGCTGAGGCACAGAAAGGTTAGGTAGCTTTCCCAAGGGCATGGTAACTATGGAGCAGGGATCCAGCAGCAGTCTGGCCACAGAGCCTCCCCTCTTTCTTTCTCCCTCTCTCTTCCTTCTTTCCTTCCTTTCTCACATCCTTCTATTCATTCATTCATTCATTCATTCAGAGAGAGCAGGGGAGGGGCAGAGAGACAGGGAGAGAGAGAATCCCAAGCAGGCTCTGCACACTCAGCGCAGAACCCGACATGGGGCTCCAACCCACAAACTGCGAGATCACGACCTGAACCGAAATCAAGAGTTGGAAGCTTAACCGAAGGAACCAGGGCCTCTCCTCTTAAAAGCAATCTTTCAGGGGCGCCTGGGTGGCTCCGTCGGTTAACCATCCGATGTCAGCTCAGGTCATGTCTCCCGGTTCGTGGGTTCGAGCCCCGCGTCGGGCTCTGTGCTGACAGCTCACAGCCTGGAGCCTGCTTCAGATTCTGTGTCTCCCTTTCTCTCTGACCCTCCCCTGCTCATGCTCTCTCTCTCTCTCTCTCTCTCTCAGAAATAAAAAAATAAAATAAATTATTTTTTAAAAAAAGCAATCTTTCAGTAACTATTTGCTTGGCCACGAAAGGTCTGTCCTCTAATGGTCTCTTCTCCGTGGACAAGGAACAACTCTCCATTCTGGCAAGCACATGGTCTCGTGGAATAAAGGCCACGTTTCCCAGCCCTCCTTGCAGCTGCGCAAACAGCCCAACTTCGAGCCAATAGAATATAAGTAAAAGCAGCAGGTGCATGACCCAGCAGCATCCTTACATGCAGAGAGCCTGCCTTTCTTCTTCTCTTGCCTTCTTCCTGCCGGCAGATACGATGGCCTGAGCAGCAGCAGCTACAATGGACCACGAGGTGACTTGGGCACGAAGGCCCGCACGGCAGAGAAGTGAGAGCAAGTTCCGGGGGGCTCACAGATTCCCGCAGCGACCCTGCACGACTTGTGTCCGAGCTTTCAGGTGAGGGAGAAATAGACCTAATAACTTCTCTACGCCAGTGTTCCTTTAGCTTTTACACGATTCCTAGCAAAACCTAATCCTCAATAACGCCTTGGGTTTTTGCAATTATAATTAACGTCACCTGAAAAGAAGCCCAAACTCTCTCTTCTGGGTTGGACTCTTGACTTAAAAACAACACAAAATAAAACGTGACCCTGAGTATCCCTCCAACAGACAAACTATGAATGTGAGCATACAAAGCCTCATTGGCCCCGGAAGGTAGTAACAGTTTCTTGTCAGTTCATGCTGGGGTCACGCTGAAGCCTCTCAGGTCGGCCTCCCTGCCTCCAGACTCTCTCATCCATTCAGGATACTTGCTTGTCTTATACTTAAAAACTACTTTTTTCCTAAACGTTGAAATCATTACAATGCTCCATACGTGCCCACTGTACACAAGTCACTTTATTGTCTAATTTTTTCTAACCCGCAAGCAAAAGTGTAAAACATAAATATGATGATTCCCCTTTCAGAGGTAAGGAAATGAAAGAAAGAGAGAAGGTCAGTGGTTTGCCTGACGTCACACAGCAAGTTGGGGGTAAAGCCAGAATTCCAGCACTCCCTCCAGCACCGACGCTCCTTCCGCCACACCAAGCTGATTTCTGGGAAACAGGAGCCAGAGCAAACCCATCCTGCGCCACGTGACCCTGGCAACGTTAAGGTTCTTGGACTCTATCTTCTCTGCCTCTTCTTGTTTGGTGTAATTTTTTTTTTTTTACATTTATTTATTATTGACAGAGTGAGACAGAGCACGAACAGGGGAGGGGAGGAGAGAGAGAAGGAGACAGAGCATCTGAAGCATGATCCAGGTTCTGAGCAAGCTGTCAGCACAGAGCCCGACACGGGGCTCAAACCCACGAACCGTGAGATCATGACCTGAGCCGATGTCGGACACTCAACTTCAGCGCCACCATTGTCCGGTCTAATTTTTTATCATCCTTTAACACAAACCTCCACCCACTGAGGCCAGATGCCACGGATTCCATCACACGCCCCTGCACCAGGCCTCAGTATTCCCAGCTGCAAAATGGGGCAAATCATACCTCCACCAAGAGGCAACCTGGCATAGAGGAAAAAGGCAGGAGACCTGGAATCAGGAAAAACTGACTTCAAACCCAGCTGGGCACATTCTTTACCTGTAAAAGGAATGTAGTAGTTCCTTCCTGGTGGGATTACTGAGCTGACTGGATGGCGTTTCTAAGAGTCGCTCGGCTGTACTCAGCCCCTGTCATCGATAGTGTCCTCCTTGTTACTATTCCTGACTTCATTGTGGCACCACCGCCCTGACACCTTCCCTTCTGCACAAAGGACACAGGTGATGTGACAGCAAGCGCTGTGAAAAGTTTACAGCCTTACAAATGCCGCACATCTGTTAGCCACTGATATTCACACCCACAGTGTCTCTGAATGTTGCATTTCAACCCAGCCCCTCTCGCAAGAATCCCTCCACATTTCCCGGCTGGGCTCTCTAGACAAGATGGGATGAGGTCACTCACCGATTCCATAGTGAATCTCTCGACGAAAAACTGGAGAGCCTGGAGGCTGAAGATCTCATGTCTCAGCCGTCACATCAGAAAATTACCTGGATGGGGGAGGAGAAAAGGTGACAAGCGTCATCCAGTGGGACCGGGCGGAAGACATGGTCTCAGACCAACAAGTGGTTTCACTTGGAGGCTGGCGTCCTCATCAGGAATGTCCCTACACCACCGAGTGGCCGTCCGGGAACGGAAAGGAAAAGAGCCAGCGAACCACTCTTTCCGCCATCCACTTTGGAGCCGGTATCTCCATCCTTGGATCCGTGCGAACGCTCAGGATCCTTCGTGCGTTCTATTTCTAGCTCTACAGTGGAGAGCAATTTACAAGTCATTAACTTCTCTAAACACAAAATCAAAGTGTGCTCACAGGTGCAACAGACAGGCGGACCCATGCAGCTCTGTGCCCACGGGGAACGTGGAGGTGTGCCCCCAGCCAAGGGAGCCAGCTCAGGGAGGAGGTCGAGCTATTTGAATGTACATATTTCAGAGCAGCCCCTCTGAACCTGAGAAGCATTTTAATTAATGCATGCATACCGAAGCTTAATTGCTGAGTGCACAGAGCACAGGAAGTCGGGATGAAAAGTGTTATGTAAGGGAGCAGCTTCAATGTTTGCAGAACGGAAGAGAAATAGAGGTAGGGAGGGAAAACAAGATGAGCCCAGAGATTGCTGGGTCCTTCTCCAGGGATCCCTAGCTCAGAGTGGCACCTCCATCTGGGGCCAGGACCCACGGATACTCTGGACCCACCGTCTTCCTACCCCCAAATCCATTCCCCATCCCAAGTCCTGTCTCATTTACTTCCTAAAGATCTCTCAGCCTCTCTCTCTCTCCAAGAGACCAAGCCTCCACCGTTCCCACCTGGGTCCCTACAACTGCCTCCTTCCTGGTCTCCTCTCATCCCCATCTCTCCCTCTGAAATCTGGTCCCCCCCACACTGAAGCTAGAATCACCTTTTTTTTTTTTACCTTTTATTGTAGAGAATTTTATAGACACAAAAATAGAGAAGAGTATCCCGAACCCCACGCACCTACCGCCGAGCCCCGATCACCATCAACTCACAACCAACCTTTCCTCTCCCCACATTCTTATTTTGGACCAAATAATCCCGCCATTTCTGTCCTAAATAGAACAGCATGTGTCTGCAAGACCGGGCTTTTACAAAAACATAATTGCAATACCGTTACCACACCTGAAAAAATTATATGATTCCTTGACATCACCAAATACCCAATTTTCAGATTTCTAACAGTCCCATGAATGTCAAAATGTTTTTTAAACAACTGTGTTTAAAATCCAGATCCAAATAAGCTCTACGCTTTATGATGGGCTGAGAAGCAGAGTGAAAAATTTTAAACACCAGCCTGATTCTATCACCCCCAGCTCTCCACCCCAGCTTAACGTTCTTCAGTGGTTTCTTAGTGCTTCACGATAAAGCTGGAATCCTGTAACATGGCTCCCTCTCGTCCGTCTCTCTGGCCCCTCTTGTCTACTCAAACTCTCGGCTACAGGCATGTGGCCTTCTTTCAGATTCCGGGACTTGCCAAGGTCCTTCTCTTTCAGGTCTTTTGCTCATGCTCTTCCCTCGACCTGGAAGGCTTCCTCACTTACCATCCTTGCCTAGTTAACTCCTGTACTTCCTGAAATCTTACTTCTTCAAGGAATCTCTTCTTGCTCCTCCAGATTAGATCATGGAATGTATTTCAGTTTTCATTCATAGCTATGCATTCATTAGTGCAAATACTGACTAACATTCGTTGGTTTCATTCAATTATAAGCTATATGAGCATAAAGAGTGTGTTAGGATTTCCTCATCACTGTGTTCCCAGCGCCAATTACACAGCGCTCACCACAATATTAATAGCTATTTGCGGAATAAATGATCAAACCATCTCCTTCAAGCTAAAATGCCAAGAATGATTGACTGAATCTTCCTGAACCTTGAATCAGACCTTTAAACTGGACAGAGAATGGACAGTCTTACCCAAAATGTGATGTGTTCAGGAAAGCTGAAATGATCTTTAAAAAGAAGGGCGATGTGGGAAGACTCCTATTTCCCAAATTCAAAACCTACTGCAAAGGTGTAGTGATCAAAGCAGAGTGGTGCACGAGTAAGAGGCGCCATGCTTTCCCTAGGGACCGGAGACCTTCCTGTAACACACCCCAATCCCAACCTCACTGTCACACCCCAGGCCCTGTCATCTGCATGAATCATCAGGGCCCCTCCCAGCCTGGTCCTCCACCTGCTATTTCTTTGCTCTCCTCGCTTCCCCCAAGCGTGGAGGCTGCATCACTTGCAGACAGTCACTGCTTCATTCAATGAAGAGTCACCTCCTTCATTCTCTCCTGGAATTCGAATTACACACTTGCGCCCTTGGTCATGTGACTTTGTGCTCCTTCCCGCTATGGTCGGTGGTGTTTATTCCTTTTCCCCACTGGATTCTGGACTGGACCATGGGCTTATTTAAGCAATGGCTTGTGGATGCAAGTGGCAGATAGTGTATGGTCCCAGGTCCTTCCCCCTGCACCACTGTGATGTGTCATGGGATGAATACGTCTCCCCAGACCCCGTTAGCTGTGACCTCGCAGTCTGGACCCCAGGCTGATAACATGTGGAGCAGATCTGAACCCAACCAGAAGCCCCCCGCCCCAGAGCAAGCGGAGCCCAGCCTAGATCAGCCAAGCCACAGACCCATGAGCATGAACACCAAGACCTGTCATCAAGCAAGTCGCTGCAGTTCTGAGGATTTTCAAATAAACTGACGAATACACATGGCAACACTAATTTATGGACACTAACAAGTATCAGCACAGGTTGGAAAACATGAGAGCCGTGCAGATGGACAGCACAGGCGATTGGCAAAGAGCCTACTTACAGAATACCTCCTTGGTGCCAATGTGGCCCTCGCAATGATCCTGTAAGGTAGGCAGCTCTGGGCCACCTTTACAGGTGAGAAACCTGAGGCTCTGAGATGTGAAACGATGTGTCCAAGACAGTATGGGGCAGAACTGGGATTCCAACCCAGGTTTTCTGACTCAAAAAGTCCAAGCCAGGCTTCTCTTCCACAAAAGGGTCTCATAGATGCTCAAAGACAGACCACACGGGCCCTCAGTCCACCAACCCACCTCCACTCTTGTCCCATTTCCTTCGGTGGGTCTCCAGGACAGGCTACTGCGCTCCAGTAAATAGCCACCAGGCTTCAAGTCCAATCTCCCCAAGTTCCAGTCCAGCTCTGCCCCTGACCAGAGCCTCACCTTGGTCAGTGAGCCTCACTGGCTCTCAGACCCCCTGTTTGTGAAACGAGGCCACTCATCCTCGCCTAGCCCACGTCACTAGGCTGGTGTGAAACTCCAGAGAGATGGCGGGTGGCAGAACTGTGTGAGGTGTGACACCAAAGTCAGCTTAATTCCTGCTGCTGGACTTGGCAACCACTCACAGCAGGTTAACAGCTACGTGTATGTCAGTATCTCACCCACGCGGCTTTTAGACCCATTTATGCTCTGAGACTGTTTGCTTTGTTTGTTTTTCAAACAGAGATGTTTTCTATTTATAAAAGCAATCCAGGGCCATTATGAAAAATACTAAGGCATGAAACTAAAATCTGATATCATCCAAACACCTACAGATAAACACTGTTGGGATTTTAAGGCTATTTCCTTTCTGGGATTGGTGTTTGTTAAGAATGAAATAAACAAAGCCTTTGAATTAGCATGGTTTCCTTAGAACCAGGGAACTACCAGTAATTTTTAAAAAATTCCCCTTTGTAGGGGCGCCTGGGTGGCTTAGTTGGTTAAGCGTCCGACTTTCGCTTAGGTCATGATCTCGCGGTTCATGGGTTTGGGCCCCACGTCAGGCTCTGTGCTGACTGCCAGCTCAGAGCCTGGAGCCTGTTTCAGTCTGTGACTCCCTCTCTCTCTGACCCTCCCCTGTTCAGCTGTCTCTCTCTCTCTCTCTCCTAGAAATAAATAAAACATTTAAAAAAAATGAATAAACATAAAAAAATTTTAAGTTGGCCCTTAAAACAAATGCATCTGGGTTAGAATTCAGAATATGGCTCTTTGATGAGTTATTTATCTTCTACTAGTTTCCTTTCATATGTTTATCTATTTATTTTTGAGGAGGGGAAGGGACAGAGAGAGAGAGAATCTCAAGCAGGCTCCACGCTGGCAGCGCAGAGCCTGACACAGAGCTCAAACCCACAAACTGTGAGATCGTGACCTAAGCCAAAGTCAGACACTTAACTGACTGAGCCACCCAGGTGCTCTGGGAGTTTCCTTTAAAAATTGGGATCATTGACGTCCCTATGTCATGCCGTGGCCGTGAGAATCAGTGAGGACACGCAGTTAAAGAAAGCACTGAGCAAAAGGCTCAGTTCCCAGCATCCCATGAATAAATGGGAGCTAACGGTGGTGGTGGTAGTGGCATTACGGTCTCATTTGATCCTTACAGTCAGCCTACGAGAAGGTGAAACTCAGAGGTTAAGGAGCTTGTCCAAGGCTATGTAGGTTCCCACTTAGGCTCCACTCCACGGGGGCCCCTCTGACACAGGCGGAGAACACGCCACAGGACCACCATGCTGGGGTGGAGGCACCGGGGTATTTTGGCACCAACTCCCACGCACAGCTCCACATACCCTGGGTGTGAGATAGGAGGAGGAAACTCACACAGCACGTATAAATAGGTGCTCAGTAAATACATGTCAGGGTAAGTGAATGCGTGGTATCAACCCCATGCTCTTCTTTACAACCTCTCCCTTCCTGCTACCACCGGTGATTGCAGATTGAGAGCAGCTCCCTGCTAGAGTGAACTGGAATTCATTACCATCAAGCAGCACATCTTTTATCCACCCGTGTTTCTGCTTCTTCGATAGAAATTCTATCCTGTAACTTACAGTATGTCATTCGGGACAGCAATTCCTGCAGGTGACGCAGGAACAAGGGATATACTTCACTTGGTACATAAACCCCCCCTTTACTGCCAATCCCCAGATAGGTGTGGAGTTTTATTCAACAGAAGTGACTTCATGGATGTTGGGATGTATATCCCTTT